ATCGTAACGACATTATGACTGAACTGTAGATCCCGCCTTAGTATAAATGGTTTCACATTTTGGAAGTGATATATATACAATCCTAACAGCACGTGTACGTTCTGAGTATGTTCTGAGAAGATCGCAATGAGTATATTGCGATTATCTCAGAATATTCTCATACGTACTGCGATCAACTAAGTACGTTCTAAGTACGTTCCTCCATTCTGCACGGGATGTCCGGGATAACACCTTCCATGAAATTTTGTCGCGAATATTCGCAGCGAATGATGACAGTATTAGGAAGAATGAAAACGGAAAAGCATGGTTGCATTCCGATATTGATTACTAGTACTGAAAATCTATAATATACATGACGTTCCTTACGGAAAATAAGTGAAAAAAAATGAAAAAATTAAAAAAAAAGGAAAATGATGAAAGAAAATGATGAAAGAAAATGATGAAACATCTTTTATCTTGGTACCATCGCATGTTTCTAAAACGACCATCCATTCAACTTGAGATCCAAATTATCTGCAACTGTATTCTTATATAGAAATTGTATTCTTATTACTTTAATGTTATTATTATATATATATTAATACTTTAGTTTTATTTTTTTATCCAAATTTTTTACATAAAAATTTTTTTATTTAAATTAAATTTTTTTTATTTTGTATTATTACCTCTTTAATTCTTTGTAATTAAATCTTCTATTTAATTCAAATATACATGTATTTAAAAATTTTTTACAGAAGTGTCGCGAGCGCCGAGAACGCAATCACGCTCACCGCTGACAAAGCGGATTGCGGCAAGCGATACTTTATCCGACGAATTATTATTTTACCAAGCGATAGCGATTACCAACGCTACCGTGCTAATCGCGCAAATATTGTGTAATCGTTCCACGTGAAGCAACTGTTAACTGGGTTGCGCGGCCCTTATGCGGAAAACCGCCGCGCGACTCAGAAATATACCGCGAACGCTGACGAACATGTTGATGACACGGCAAGGACCGGCCGCCTGGAACAGGATAAAAACGGAAGACCGATACTAGGAGAGGACTCGTCGAGATCCGCCGTGCCGTCATGTCTGTCGCGGTCCGAATTAAAAAGGACAATCTGTATCAAGTGTTAATAAAGTTTATTTAGTATCGAACAAAGTGGTAAGTGCCTCTTTCCCGCCGACTCCTTGATCGATCCCCGAAACGACCCGCACAACATTTCTGGTGGCAGCGGTGGGATCGTTTCGCAGCTACACCCAGTCATCTGGAAGGAACAAACGATCGGAATTCAAGGAAAAGGCCGGAAAAGAAGTCGACATTCCTGCGGCGAGAAAGAGCCGGCATAGCCAACAACGTAGAGGATATCAGTGACACCGGAGAAGCCACGACCTACCGCAACAGCCAGCGCCACGTCACAAACATGCGAATTGCGAGCGTAATGTAAGTCATAGAAAATTAAGCCAAGCACAGAGATAGCGAGAGAAGCGTGTAGGTAGATGTCGAACGAGGGAGTTAATCAAACTCCTGCCCAAAGAAACACGTCGTGGCTACATAGCTGCATCAGCCAGCCGAGCGCTCAGTCCGAGTCCTCCGAGCCTTGAGCAGACGGAAAATTCACGCGATCCGCACGATAACGTACACCGCGATTTAAGTAATTATTATTCCGACGATAGTCTGACGAGTCAACCGGAATTACATCCGAACATTGTAATTGAACGCGTGTTTTCGCTTAGTGACATAGATAATAGCCTACTACCGAGTAGTGAGAGACGCGACGACGCTCTATTACAACCAACAGACGCAAGATCTGACCATAGCGACGGCACAAACGCAAGTAACTAGCCGCGGAGAATTCTCATTGACATCTTACGATAGTAGCGTGTTCGATCCAACCGAATTTTACACCGCTTCACGAAACATAAATCCAGCGGAAATGGCAAATCAACCCTCGGGCACATCGTTAAAATCGATCGCGGAAGAACAACAAGTAGTAAACAAAGAACTGGACGAAGTAAAAAGGATGAGAGCCACTTTAAGCCATGCACACTGGAAATCTGACCCGGCGGAATCTTCGCACGACGCGCGAGATGCAATGTTGGTCGAATTGATAGAAAGCATGCGAACACTACAGGGCCGCATAAGCCAACTAGAAGTCATTTACGATCGGAGTGCAGAAAATGACGAACCGATAGAAATGACATACGGGCGTACACGGGACGATGTCCGAAATTCGCGAGATCCCGCACATACGTTTATGAAACTGAAAGAAGCTCGCGATATGATTCCGGAAATGGACGGATCATCGCGGAACCAAGTTCAAAAATTTTTAAATGCAAGCACGTACGCGATGAGCGAAATAAATCCTACCGACGAAAAATCATTATTAAAAGCGATCTTGTGCACGAAACTAACAGGGAAAGCCATGCACGATTTCCAAACAAGGGATATACGCACGTTCATGCAACTGAAGCGCGAGATCGAGATGTGCTATTTGGCAAAGCGTAGCACTACGCACATTCAGCGAGAGTTTAATATAACCCGTCAAAAACCCGGGGAAAGCGCGCGAGAATACGGACTCCGCGTTGACAAACTAGCAATGGAACTCTATCAATCTATGGTAGAAGGACGCGAGCACACCGCGGAGCAACGAAAGGCAATCCTAGATACGATACAAGAATTAGCCCTAGAAAATTTCCAACTAGGATTACGTGACGAGATACAAACAGTACGATCCAAGAACTATACGAATTTAACAGCCGCGATGCTAGGCGCGACAGCCGAAGAAAAAAAATTAAAAGATAGCCAACCTATAAAAATGTACAATAACGAGAAAGCTAGAAGCAACCAAGAACAGTATAGAAACCGCAATCAAAAACTGGAGTGCCACAAATGCGATAGGCTAGGACATTTGGCGCGCGACTGTCGTTCAAGCCGATACACAAATAAATATCCGCTACCGCGAGCCGAACGACCGGCGAACGTAAATAATATCGAGAAATACTGCTCGTACTGCAAAAAGGCAGGTCATAAGCGCGACGAATGCTGGTCACTGAACGGCCGCCCGAGAAAGGGGCAGCCGAGACGCACGAGACAGGATAATGAAAAGGGGCGACAAATAAATACCGTTGTATAATAATGAGAAAGAATAAGCAGCAAAGGGAGAGCGATGACCTATCGTTCACAAGCAGTGGCGACGACGAAGAAGAAGAGAAACCGAGAACGAAGATACCGAACGCGAACCGTACGCGAGCATCAAGTGACACAGGTGAATACGCCTCACACAAACGTCACGTTAGATTTGATTACCTTGCCGATGCGAGAGACAAAAAAGGGAAAACAAGTTTTCTCCTCGATACAGGCGCCACTTTGACATTAATAAAAGTAGGAAATCTAAAGGGAAACACACTAATGCGCGAAGAGCGTTTAGCCCTAACCGGAGTTACGGGCCACAAGATACACACACTCGGAAAGATAAGAGCAACGATAACGCTAGGAGACCGAGAGATACGGCACACTATGTATGTGGTAAGAGATGACTTCCCAATAAATTATGAAGGGATACTGGGACTAGACTTTTTGAATAAACAGCAAGCGAAATGCGATCATGGGAAAAAACAAGTCCGTATTGGCAACACAACTTTCAAACTCTATCCGTACAAGAAAACCATGCTAACGCCTCGCAGTGAAACCATAATTCAGGCAGTAACCGATCGGAATAGCATTGGAATAGTAAATGCAGTCGAAACCAAACCCGGAGTTTTCATAGGAAATTGTTTGGCCAGAAGAAAACGTATGTCCAATAAGTGTGATAAATACCACGGGAGAATCCGTGGAGATAACAACGCCGCTAGTCACGGTGGACGAGATAAAGACAAAAGACGCCGCACACATGTATACCATGGAGGTGTCAAGTAATGAAACAAGCGACGAGCCCATTCAAGTTCGTAAAGAAAAATTGCACAGACAAATGCGAACCGAGCATTTAAATAAAGAGGAAAAGAAAACCTTGCACCAGATTTGCGAAGATTTCTGTGATATCTTCCACCTAGAAAACGACCGCCTATCGTACACTAACGCAGTAGCACATGAAATAAATACGCGAGCAGAACGCGCCGGTGAATGTCCGACCATATAGATTACCAGAGAAGCACAAGGCAGAAGTAAATAAACAGATAGCGAAAATGCTGGACGACGAGATAATCCGTCCCAGCACGAGTCAGTGGAACACACCCTTACTAGTAGTACCAAAGAAATTAGACGCATCTGGAGAGCGAAAACTACGAATAGTTGTGGACTTTCGGAAATTGAATGACTTAACAATTGGCGATTCTTTCCCGCTCCCGAATATCACTGACATACTAGACCAACTAGGAAACGCGAAATACTTTACAACATTGGATTTAGCATCGGGATACCATCAAATCCCCATGCATGAGGAACACAAACAAAAAGCAGCATTCTCCACACCTTACGGGTACTACGAATTTAATAAAATGCCTTTTGGATTAAAAAATGCGCTTGCAACATTCCAGAGACTTATGAATTCCGTACTAACCGGATTACAAGGCCTCAAATGCCTAGTCTATCTAGATGACATCGTAATATATGAACCAAATTTGAAGGAGCATAACAAGAGACTAATTGAAGTATTCAAAAAATTAAGAAACTACAATCTGAAACTACAACCGAATAAATGTGAATTCTTAAGAAAGGAAGTGACATACTTAGGACACATTATCTCCGAAAACGGTATAATACCGGATCCTGCGAAAATAACGGCCGTAGCAAACTTTCCAATACCAAACGGGTAAAAGAATGTGCAATCCTTCATAGGATTAGCCGGGTATTATAGAAGATTCATCGAGAATTTTTCGAAGATAGCAAAACCACTGACAAAACTAACAAAAAAGGATGAGAAGTTCGCTTGGACAGCAGAACAACAGAACGCATTCAAAACATTAAAAGAAAAGTTAACGATCACACCAGTTCTAGCTTACCCGGACTTCACTAAACAATTTATAGTAACGACAGACGCATCCGGATACGCCATCGGAGCAGTATTGTCGTAAGGGCCAGTAGGCCAAGACCGACCAATTGCATACGCAAGCAGAATTCTGAATAAAGCGGAACAAAACTATAATACAACGGAGAAAGAATTGCTAGCCATAGTATGGGCCGTCAAACACTTTCGACCATACCTCTATGGAATAAAATTTCAAATAATTACAGACCACAAGCCATTGATCTGGCTATTTAGTATAACAGACCCTGGTTCACGATTAATCAGATGGAGGCTCAAATTAGAAGAGTACGACTATGAGGTGATACACAAGGCAGATAAAGGCAATACAAATGCTGATGCGCTCAGCAGAAACCCGATCGCGCCTGACACACAGATAAATAGCATCGAGCGCGACAAGGAAGAACGCGAATATAACAAAGAAGACAAGGAGCAAATAATGTACGAATATCATAATGCCCCCCTCGGAGGACATCAAGGCGTAACACGTATCGTAAATCGAATACGACTAATGCACAACTGGCACGGACTAATACGAGATGTGGAAGAATACATCGCCAAATGTGAATATTGCCAGAAAAACAAACTAAGCAAGAAAACCAAAATGCCTCTAGTACTGACCGACACGGCAGAAAGACCGTTTCAAAAATGCGCCCTGGACATCGTAAGACCACTCACGGTCACCATGAAAGGAAATAAATACCTACATTTCAAGACGACTTAACAAAATTTAGTAAAGCAATACCGATATCAGACCAGGAAGCAAACACGATTGCCAAAGAATTCACCACAAAAATAATATGCGAATTCGGAATACCGGAGACAGTACTGACAGATCAAGGAACGAACTTCGTCAGTGAAATGTTCAAGGATGTATGCACTCTCCTAAAAATAACGAAAATTCAAACAACCGCGTACCATCCTGAAAGCAAGCCCTGGAGAGATCGCACAGAACTCTGATCGAATACTTAAGGCACTATATAAATGAGGATCAAACCAACTAGGATGAATGGATCCCATACGCGATGTTCACGTACAATACGACACCGCATACAGCAACGGGCTATATACCGTTCGAATTGATGTACGGGCACCGAGCAACATTACCTACGGCCCTGGCAGCGCCGCCGAAATCATATTATACACACGATAACTACGCGCAAGAACTAAGAGAACGACTCAGAGCCTCACAGAAAGTAGCAAAAGAACATATTCGCGAAGCAAAACAAAAGGCAAAAAACTATGCAGATAAAAATACGAATACTAAAACCTTCAAAATAGGAGATAAGATCCTCCTGCATGACGAAGCAGTGCGCAGAGGACGATCGAAGAAATTGGAAGCACCATATCATGGATAGGTCCATATCAGATAATCGAGAAAACCTCTGATGTTAATTACAAAATTAAACAGAAACGAAAAATTATGACGGTGCACGCGAACCGACTCAAACTATTCATCGAAGATTAGCAAACAACGCATACGAATAATTACCCGCAAAAAGCAAAAAGCAAAAGCAGTAAAATAAAGACATTAATAATAAAGACAGCATAAATTAGAGTTAGTAAAAAGAAAAAACTTGTCCCTAAACTTGCAGGATGCTCCTTATGTGGAGAGGAACAGTACAAGCGACACCTGATTCTCGGCATGCTATTGACTGGGAATTGTTCTCGCACCAGCCAGGAATCTACTACGAGAAAATCGGTCAGCTGAGACAGGCTGAATCGGCATGGAAATTAGTGATAAAACTGAGCGCAAAAGAATTGGAGATCAGACATCAGCAATTGCAAGATTATATGGAGGAAACCGCAATACAGTGCCGAAAAGTAATAGGCAACGCCCAGTTAGGTTGCCGAAACATTATGAGGATAATAGAAAGAAAAAACACCAAATTGATCACGCTGTTGACACAAGTAGAAACGCTATACAAAACGACTGACAAACGACGACGAGGACTGCTAGATGCGGTCGGGTCGGTCAGCAAAATATTATTCGGAACGATGGACGCCGACGATCAAAAACTAATAGACGAGCAACTGCAAACGTTACGAACAAACGGCAAGGTACTGCAGCACGCAGTAGCAAATCAAATAAAAGTAATCAACGCCACAATAGCGCACTTGGACGAATTAGAAAATACTCTAAATTATAATGAAAATCTGATAATGAGTGCGACAAAACGACTAGAACAACGATTGACCGAGTCAACACTACAGGCAGACGTAGACGAACACTTTATTAATCCTGACAACGATAATGAACGATTTAACGAAGGACACGGAAAATGTAATAGACTACCTGACATACGGGAAAAACGGAATGATACCGACACGACTACTACCCATCAAACATATAATAACAGCCCTCAAAGAAGCGGCTACACAATTACAAATGGGATTACACTTTCCTTTTAAAATCCAGATTGAGCACTGGCAGACCATACACACATACATCACTTTTAGCGCATATTCAGATGGTCCATACATATACACAATCTTGCGATTTCCGATAGTAGCATACCCTACATTTAAACTAGTTAAAGCAATACCGCTACCAGTACACGATCATGCGAATGTATTCGCCTACATAAAAATAAACCACCCCTTGCTAGCTATAGATAAAGAGAATCACCACTACAAATTACTAGAGGAAGTAGAGTTAGAACGCTGCATACGAGAAACAAACACATACACATGCGAACAGAACTTCGCGACACATTATGCGGAAACAACAGCACCATGCGA